TCCAGAACTGCGAGAGAAGTTTCTGTTATAAGCAGTTTGTGGTCATCTGTTTTGGCAGCCCTAGGAAATGAATACTGTTCAACACAACTGCTATCAAAATCCCAGAAAAAATATTTGTAGACATAGACAAGATTATTCTAAAATAAATATGTAAAAGCAAAGGAACCAGAACATCCAAAACAATTTTGCGAAAGAATAAAGTGGGTGGAATCACTACCTGATTTTAAGACTTATTGTATAGTTACAGTAATCAGGACTGTGTGATATTGGCAGAGGGACAGACACATACAGAACAGAACAGAGAACCCAGCAACAGACTCACATGAATATGCCCAACTGATTTCTGTCAAAAGCACAAAAGCAATTTAATGGAGGAAAGACAGCCTTGTCAAGAAAATGGTGCTAGAACAATAGACATGCATAGATAGGCAAAATGAACTGTAACCTAAATCTCATACCTCATACAAAAATTAACTTAACATGTATCATAAACTTAAATGTAAAACAGAAAACTATAAAAACTTAAAAAAACCCAAGGGAACTGGGGAAAAATCTTTGGGATGTAGCGAGGCAAGGAGGTCTACAACGGACTTGACACCAAAAGTAGGATCAGTGAGATGAAGTTGATGAAATGGACAAATTAAAAAAAAACTTTTGTTATGTGAAAGGCCTTGTTAAGCTGACAAGAAGACAAGCTGCAACTGGAAGAAAATATTTTCAAGTCACGCATCTGACTAGTATCTACACTATAAAGAACTCTTGAAACTGAACAGTAAACAAGCAAAACAATCCAACTACAAAATGGACAAAAGATACGAACAGACATTTCACCAGAGAGGATATGCAGACCGCAAATAAGCACATGAAAAGCTGGTCAGCATCATTAGCTGTTAGGGAAATGCAAATTAAAACCACAAAAGATATTGTGACACACCTATCAGAATGGCTAAAATAAACAATAGTGACAACACCAAATACTGACAAGGGTGTGGAGGTTCTGGATTATTCACACATTTCTGGCAAGAATGTAAAATGTTACGGACACTCTGGAAAACAGTTTGGCAGTTTCTGTAAAATTTAAACATGCAATTACTGTACGAGCCAGCAGCTGCCTTCTTAGGTACTATCCCAGGGAAACGGAGACTCATGTTCACACAAAAACCTGTACACAAATGTTTACAGCAGCTTTATCTGTCATAGCCTCAAACTAGAAACAACCCAGATGACCTTCAACAGGTGACCTTCACGGTTAAATGAACCGTGGTACCAGTTCATCCATACCATGGAATACTATTTGGCAATAAAAAACAGTGACGTACTGATACATGCAACAACTTGTAACTTGATGAATCTCCAGAGAATTCTGCCCACTGAAAAAAAGCCAATCTCAAAAATTAGGTACTGTATGATCTGTCATTACGGAAATGACAAAATTACAGAAACTGATGATAGGTTAGTGGTTGCCAGGTATTAAGGAGGGGTTGGGGTGGGAAAGAAGTAGGTGGGAACTATAGAAGGGCGATATGAGGTATCCTTGTGATAGAAAAGTTCTGTGTCTTTTTTTTTTTTTTAATTAATTTATCTATTTGACAGAGAGAGAGACAGAGAAGGAACACACGCAGGGGGAGGGGGAGAGGGAGAAGCAGGCTCAATCCCAGGGATCATGACCAGAAGTGAAGGCAGATGCTTAACGACTGACCCACCCAGGAGCCCCGAAAAGTTCTGTGTCTTGACTGTAATAATGTCAACATCCTGGTTGTGATATTGTTTTATATAAGATGTTACCAATGGGGGAGACTGGGTAAAGCATACATAAGATCTCTTGTATTATTTCTTACAACTGCATGTGAATCTACAATTATTTCAAAATAAAATTTTAATTAAGAAAAATCACAGCAATCCATTTTCTCTTAAAAATCATCTAGAATATGAACCTAAATATAGGCTTGCCTGTTTAAGCATGTAAGTCATCCTTCTTGCTTTTTCATTGGCAGTAGCTTCTGAATACCAAGTTGAGCCTTTCCTTTGAACTGAATCCTAGCAAGAGCAGGTAAAGAAGATGTGTGTTCTGGTGGAAAAAGCCCTGGAAGTGAGGTCAGATGACCTGAGTTCTAGTCCTGACTCTCATTCATTAGCCATATGAATTTAGGCAAATTGGTAACTCGACTTTTTTGGAAGGCAGCTATGCTCAAGTTACCAACGGGGTAACTTGACTTTTCTGAAACTTAAGAATTTCCTCATTTGTAAGGATTTGTCAAGGATAGTAATACAGCACTCTCTATTTCACAGAATTGCTGGGGATGGGGGCAGGGATCATATGAAATAATGGATATAAGAATGCTTTGTAAAATGTAAAGCATGGTACTGTGAGACAAGAGGTTTTATATTTGGGCAACAGCCATTTTGCCAAAGTATGGAGGCACTTGGTAACGGTTATCTGCTCAATAAATAATGAATGAGTGACTGGTCATTACAAAACTCAAACAAGGGCAGAATTTTCTCCCAAGCATTTAAAACAAAGGAGATACATAACACATTCAATCAAACAGGAAAAAGCAACATATATTATATAAGGAACCAACAGGATTATTAAACTAATCTCTGCATAAGAAAGTGAACTATCCCACCATGTTTCAGGGGATGAGCAATAATGGATGTAAGACTTGTCAAACACTGAGCTCTCTAGCAGGAAACCCAAGAGCCAGGGAGATGGAACAGTAACAGACAGAATAAAAGTGGCAAAAAAAAAAAAAATTGCTCAGAGAAGTTTAGGCCTTATATAGAGACTATGGAAATGGATCAATTTGGATTTACAGTACAATTTAATTTTAGTTTGTATTAGTTACTATGGCAAACACATCTGAAGGTCCAGATGAGGCTCATGGCTTAGAAATAGAATTTTCTCTTCTTCCCAAAAGAAAGTAAAAAAAATATGTATCCAAAATGTTCAATGCTAACATTTTTTTAAAACTTAAATTCACACAGGCCATAATTACACAGCTCCAGGAGAATTCTAGGTTTTTGAAGTCGATGCTGGTTTGTTCCAGGTTGTCACCCTGCTATACTGTTCCACCATCTGCTGTGGTTTGCACATATTTTTACATGAAGAGGCAACTGAGCCCAAAGCAGAGTCAGGATCCTCAGTTATTAACATGGACTCAAATAATGACTTTCTGTGTGACTTTAAGCAAGCCATTTAACCTTAACATTTTATAGCTCCCTTATAATAACAATACCGCCTTACATGTGTATGAGCTGTTAAAGTTTACAACACATATTATTTTAATTGATCCTTAAAACCTCAGTGTGGGAGTCAGAGCAGGTATTATTTCCATTTTACAAATGAGGAAACCAAAGTCAAACAGCACAGGAGGGATATCCATATGGAAAATCAAACAAATAAGAGACCCTACCTTACACCATAAATAAAACAATTAAAAATGGATCATAAACCTATATGTAAGAGATAAAAGTATAAAAACTGCTACAAGAAAACACTGGAGAAAATCTTTCTAAATTTGAGATAGGCAAAGATTTCTTATCATGACCAAAACATGAACAATAAAAGAAAAAATTGATAAATTAGACTTCATCAAAACTTAGAACTTTTGCTTTTTAAGTTATGTCATTAAGAAAATGAAAAGACAAGCCAGAGATTGGGAGAAAACAGTTACAAACTGTATACTATAAATGATTTGTACCTAGAATATATAAATAAATCTTACAACTCAATAAGAACCCAATTTTTAAAATGGGAAAATAATCGAAGAGACATTTTCCCAAAGAAGGCATATAAATGGTCAATAAACACATAAAAAAATTATCAACACCATTAGCCATCAAGAAAATAATGACAAGTCAAAACCACAATGAGCTACCACTACATACTCACTAAAATGGCTATAATGAAAGAGATAGACAGTAACAGTGTCGATGAGGATGTGGAGAAATTAGAACCCTCATACACCCGCCGGTAGGGATGTAAAACAGCGCAACCACTTTGGAAGACAGATTGTAGCTCCTCAGAAAGTTAAACATAAAGTTACCAAATGACCCAGAAATTCATATATTCAAGAGAACTGAAAACATGTGTCCACACAAAGAGTTGTATACAAATGTCATTGCAGTATTATTCATAATAGCTAAAAACTAAAACCATCTCAAATGTCTACCAACTAGTGAGTGGGTAAAGAAAATGTGATATATCCATTAAGTAGAATATAATAATATAGGAAGGATTAAAATACTGATACATGCTACATGGATGAGCCTCAAAAATATTATGTTAAATTGAAAGAAGCCAGACACAAGAGATCAGACGCTGCATGGTTTCATTCATATGAAGTGTCCAGAAAGAGAAAATTGACACAGATAGAAGGCAGCTCTGTGGTTGCCTGGGCCTTAAGTGAGAACAGGGAGTGACTGCAAATAGGTGAGAGGAAACTTTGGGGTAATGGAAATATTCTAAAACTGGATCATGGTGACAGCTGCATTAACTCTATAAGCTTACTAAAATCACCAAATGGTACACACACAAAGGCTACATTTCATGGTATGTAAATTACACCTCAATAAAGCTAATTTAAAAATCACTGAATAAACCTGTGCTGAAAAGAAAAAAATCAGCAGAGGAGGGACAAATATACAGGTCCTCAGTGTTCCTTCTACTCTATTACCTGCCTTGGAGAAATGGAAGAAATAACAATAAGGTTTTTCAAAGGGTTAGTATCATCACAGGGGAAGTAACAATTCTACCAAGTTTTAAAATTCCAGGTGGTACTGCTATTTTCATTTAATCCATAGTATACTTGTATCAGAAGTTTTCTACTTTTAACTCTTTACGTTTCATAAACCCAGGGAAATTTTATAGTGTGTAAGTATACTGAAATATGAATTCATTTACCCTAAAACTCACATCAGAAAGCACTATTCTATGTAATTTATAACACAGAAGACAGTTTTAATTTTAAAGAACAGCTTAATATCACTGGTTGACTTACGGTATGGATAATAATGCTCAGAGCATCTTCGAAATGACCCCAAACTTCTTCCAGGGGACAGAGTTCTGTACTTGGCACCCCATCTGGCACTAAGAGGTTAATTAAGTTGTGCATACATTTGCTGAAATCAAAAAGAGAAAACTCATCCCAAAAGGAAATAAATCATTGGCTTCATGGCTAAGACAAGTAAAATCTGGATCTCATCCCAGACTACAAGCTTCAAAACACTTCTGTTCTTCCCTCATTTTTATCTGGCCTCCAACCTCAGAAGACAGATTTTTGAAGCTATAAAAGGGGCTGACCAATCCTTCTTTTTATTATGCCTATGGTTGTCTTTCACCTTTTTTTAGTTTCCTGCACTAAGGAGTTGTAGCTGTTTATTATATTTTATGAGCTGGTTCAATCTATAGGCACTTTAAAGCATCTCGTTACATCCCCAAATGGGCAAGGGAATTGGGATTTAAACTAGGAATAATTCCAGGAGAACTGTCTCTCATGTCTCAGAAAAGAAAGACTGTAATAAAGTTTTCCATAGAAAAATCACACAACATCATTTCCCCCATGTCTAGGCATAGAAAACATAAAATCTCTAGTAAATAATATTTTGTATTATGATGCACAGCACTTATTAGTCCTTAAAGAAAGGTGCTTAGAGAAAACATCTGGGACAAATACTGCAAAATGTTAACATTTGTTAAATTTGGGTGGTGGATACATTGGTGGTTGTTATATTAATCTCTGAAAGGTACTTAGAAATTTTATCATATATATATAGTCTCACACAAAGAAGCAACTTTGCCCCTTTTTTTCCTTTTTTGGGAAATTCAGACTCTTTGACATAGCTAATTAATTCTTGGTCTATAATACAACTCTAAATATGGAGTTGTTTTGAGGGCTTTTTAGCTCAGGAGTTATAGGAGTGCCCTGATCTATCTTTTAAGTTGGACGAGCTGAGTATGACTGATGACTTATGAGGCATTGACCAATAGCTCTTTTGGCTATCAAAAAGCCTAGCTTCAGTGTTAAGTTAGATTTACTAACCTGTATTTCAAAACGTCAATGGATTCTTTCATTTTGTAAAGCAATAAAGCCCTTTTCAAGGCTTTCAGAGCAATGGAAGGATAGTGTGCAGGCATTTCCACTGCTAATGCTATAAGAAGGAAAGAAAAAAGGCTGTGAGCACCTTATCTATCAGTTTTCATCCCAGGCTACAACTTGCTCTCTCTAATGAAACTGGCCTGAAACAGATTAACACAAACAAACCAACCAACAGACAAAAAAACCTAAAACTGAATTTTATGAAATGAGGGGTCCATGGTGGCTTTCAGAGACAGCTTATAGATTCTGGGCAGAGTAACATGGTAGGGTCACTGGGCTCATCTTCTCTTCAGCAAACATCAATAGAGAACCTACTGTTTCTGTGACCCTGCACATAGTCATACACGTAAAGCAATAATCTTATGAGCCAGAGTCAAGGAGGGGTACACAAAGGTGGAAACAAAAAGCAGATCAGTAAAAGGGCAATAATCAAAAACAGATTTATACTACAATATGCTGTTCTGGTCTGATACTAAAACCAGGAAACACTTGACATGAGAGTGAGTGTCAGAGATAACAAACCCTAAAACTTCCAAATGCATTTAACTGGAGATCCATTATACAAGAAGTGGTCACCATCACATGTCCATAAAGTATAGACCACCTGTTCCATGTCTCTAGGAATTTTGCCTTGTGAGATAAGGAAAGGCAAATGTGACCTTTGTGCACTTGGGGCTACCTAACACCTTTATTAACTACACACCAGCTCCCGAGGAGGGTAAGAGAGAAAAAAGGGAAAATAATTAGGCCATTTCCTGCAGCATATCCCCATGCAGGTTCCGGGACCCCAAATACTTTTTACTTATAGCCCAACCAGAAATTTGAAAGTGGCAATTGTGTTAAAAAAAATATTACCAGCATTTCCTTGTACACTTTATTTTTTAAAAAGATTTCATTTTTAAGTAATCTCTACACCCAACGTGGGGCTTGAACCTACAAGCCCGAGATCAAGAGTCACGCGTTCTACTGACTGAGCCAGCCAGGTGCCCCTCTTTGTACACTTTAATTCTTTTTTTTTTTTTTTTAAGATTTTATTTATTTATTTGAGAGACAGAGTGAGAGAGAGAAAGAGCACAAGAGGGGGGAGCGGGAGAGGGAGAAGCAGACTCCCCGCTGAGCAGGTAGCCCGATGCGGGACTCGATCCTGGAACTCCAGGATCATGACCTGAGCCGAAGGCAGTCGCCCAACCAACTGAGCCACCCAGGTGCCTGACGTTCTTTGTACACTTTAATAAGTTGCTAAGATTGCATCACCTTTGATCAGTGAAGCAGCTGACTGTCATTTCTATCTAGCTGAGTAAAACTAACTTTCCGAAGTTCAAGCTCCCCCTATTGTGTAGTTATACAATTCAATTCCACACCTAGAATAGGTACACCTATTATGAGTAATGCACTTTACTCGGGTTTCTAAGTACACCAGACACAAGCAATTATTTTTCATGACCCTAAGGAGCTTATAGTCTCATATAAAAAAAAAGATAGATGCATTAATGATTATAATACATGACAATCTGAGGATACCATTAGAGAAGGAGAAACAAAGTGCTATGAGGAAACATTATATCCCACCTGAGGGTAAAAAATGAAGAACAGAGAGAAGAATAAAAAGTAGTACAATCTAAATGGGTAACAGTCTTCCAAAAACATAAATATAGCACTTACATGCGATTGTTTCAAATGTTTTACTTTCCAAATGAGGCAGTTCCCACACTGATTCCAGGAAGCTGTCAAGTAACGGATCATTCATTTTGGCTTTAACTTCAAACTCATACAGCAGAAGCAATGTCTCACATGGATCACTTGAGAAGTCCCCTAAGAGGGAGGCAAAAATGCAACATTCTCTGTGATTATATTTTATTATTCTATTCTAATCTCTCTTCTGGGGAGATTTTTCTGTTGAGGAAAATTAATTCTATTTACAATTTGAAGGTTGTCCTAGCGTCTGTATATAGATGTTTTACATTTTTAAATCATTAGATACATTTTTACATTTTAAATCATTAAATGCATTATAAATTTAAATCATTAAATACACTTTTACATTTTAAATCATTAACTACATTATAAATTTACCAACACTTTAAGCACCCTATAATGCATTCAGTAGCATTGCCTACATTTCCTGAAATTATTGCCATGATGTTCCTAAATAGCCTGAAAAAGTGCTGCTACTATCTGATCCAAATCCAATGTTTATATGCCTCTCTTTAATGACTGTGTTAACCAAAAGATACAGTGCTATATAAACTAACTGGTTTTATTTTAAGCAAAGTAAAAGAGAATTTCCAAATTATTTCATTTAGTCAGTCAACAATATTTCTTGGGTATCACCATGGGCAGAAACTTGTATTAGATGGCATATACCACACGATGTGACATGGTTTTCATTCATCCTGGTTAGACTGAATTTTTAAAAAAGTTTTTCTTTCTTTTTTAAAGATTTTATTTATCTGAGAGAGAGAGAGAGAGTAAGCAAGAGAGCACAAGCTGTGGGGAGAGGCAGAGGGAGAGGGAGAAGCAAGCAGGCTTCCCGCCGAGCAGGGAGCCCGATGCGGGGCTCGATCCCAGGACCCTGAGATCATGACCTGAGCTGAAGGCAGCTGCTTAACCGACTGAGCCACCCAGGCACTCCTAAAAAAATTTTGAGGTACAGCACACATACAATAAACTGAATAAAAACCCATTAATCTTAGGTTCTTGGGGATTTTCTATGTAGACAATCATGTCATCTGTAAATATATGTGGTTTTATTTCTTCTTTTTCACTGTATGTCTTCTTTCCATTCTTTTGCTTGGCTCATTGCACTGGCTAGGACTTCTAGGATGATGTTGAACAGGAGTGAGTGTAGATATCCTTGACTTGTTCCTACCCATAGAGAGAAAGCATTCAGTCTTTCGTCATTAAGTATGTCATCAGCTGTAGTTTTATCTTTGTAGATGCCCTTTATCAGGTTTAGAAACTTCCCTACTATTCTTAGTTTGCTCAGAGTATTTTTTAAATTATAAATGGATGTTCAATCTTTTCACTTAATCTGTTGATATGGTAAATTAATTGAGTCTACAATGTTGAACCTAGGATAAACCTCACTTGGTTATGGTCTCTTATGCTTTTCAAATTTTACTAAATTTAACTTGTTAATATTTTGTTGAGGATTTCTGCAGCTATTTTCTTTTTAAAAAATTTTTTTAAATTAACATATAATGTATTATTTGTTTCAGGGGTACAGGTCTGTGATTCATCAGTCTTACACAATTCACAGTGCTTCCCATAGTACATACCCTCCCCAATGTCCATCACCCAGCCACCCCACCCCTTCCACCCCCCTCCATTCCAACAACCCCGTTTGTTTCCTAAGATTAAGAGTCTCTTATGGTTTATCTCCCTCTCTGGTTTCATCTTGTTTCATTTTTCCCTCCCTTCCCCTATGATCCTCTGTCTTGTTTCTCAAAATCCTCATATCAGTGAGATCATATGATACGTATCTTTCTCTGATTGACTTATTTTGCTAAGTGTAATACCCTCTAGTTCCATCCATGTCATTGCAAATGGCAAGATTTCATTTTTTGATGGCTGCATAATATTCCATTGTATATATATATACCACATCTTCCTTATCATCTGTTGATGGACATCTAGGCTCTTTCCATAGTTTGGCTATTGTGGACATTGCTGCTATAAACACTGGGGTGCACGTGCCCCTTCGGATCCCTACATTTGTATCTTTGGGGTAAATACCCAGTAGTGCAATTGCTCTATTTTCAACTTTTTGAGGAACATCCATACTGTTTTCCAGAGTGGCTGCACCAGCTTGCATTCCCACCAACAGTGTAGGAGGGTTCCCCTTTCTCCGCATCCCCGCCAACATCTGTCGTTTCCTGACTTGTTAATTTTAGCCATTCTGACTGGTGTGAGGTGGTATCTCATTGAGGTTTTGATTTGGATTTCCCTGATGCCGAGCGATATTGAGCACTTTTTCATGTGTCTGTTGGCCATTTGGATGTCTTCTTTGGGAAAATGTCTGTTCATGTCTTCTGCCCATTTCTTGATTGGATTCTTTGTTCTTTGGGTGTTGAGTTTGATGAGTTCTTTATAGATTTTGGATACCAGTCCTTTATCTGATATGTCATTTGCAAATATCTTCTCCCATTCTGTCGGTTGTCTTTTGGTTTTGTTGATGGTTTCCTTTGCTTTGCAAAAGCTTTTTATCTTGATGAAGTCCCAATAGTTCATTTTTGCCCTTGCTTCCCTTGCCTTTGGCAATGTTTCTAGGAAGAAGTTGCTGCGGCTGAGGTCGAAGAGGTTGCTCCCTGGGTTCTCCTTTAGGATTTTGATGGACTCCTGTCTCACATTGAGGTCTTTCAACCATTTGGAGTCTATTTTTGTGTGTGGTGTAAGGAAATGGTCCAGTTTCATTCTTCTGCATGTGGCTATCCAATTTTCCCAACACCATTTGTTGAACAGACTTTTTCCATTGGACATTCTTTCCTGCTTTGTCAAAGATTAGTTGACCATAGAGTTGAGGGTCCATTTCTGGGCTCTCTATTCTGTTCCATGGATCAATGTGCCTGTTTTTGTGCCAGTACCATACTGTCTTGATGATGACAGCTTTGTAATAGAGCTTGAAGTCCGGAATTGTGATGCCACCAGCTTTGCTTTTCTTTTTCAACATTCCTCTGGCTATTCGGGGTCTTTTCTGGTTCCATACAAATTTTAGGATTATTTGTTCCATTTCTTTGAAAAAAGTGGATGGTATTTTGATGGGGATTGCATTGAATGTGTAGACTGCTCTAGGTAGCATTGACATCTTCACAATATTTGTTCTTCCAATCCATGAGCATGGAACGTTTTTCCATTTCTTTGTGTCTTCCTCAATTTCTTTCATGAGTATCTTATAGTTTTCTGAGTACAGATCCTTTGTCTCTTTGGTTAGATTTATTCCTAGGTATCTTATGGTTTTGGGTGCAATTGTAAATGGGATCGACTCCTTAATTTCTCTTTCTTCTGTCTTGTTGTTGGTGTATAGGAATGCCACTGACTTCTGTGCATTGACTTTATATCCTGCCACTTTACTGAATTCCTGTATGAGTTCTAGCAGTTTTGGGGTGGAGTCTTTGGGGTTTTCCACATAAAGTATCATATCATCTGCAAAGAGTGAGAGTTTGACTTCTTCTTTGCCGACTTGGATGCCTTTTATTTCTTTTTGTTGTCTGATTGCTGTGGCTAGGACTTCCAATACTATGTTGAATAGCAGTGGTGATAGTGGACATCCCTGCCGTGTTCCTGACCTTAGGGGGAAAGCTCTCAGTTTTTCCCCATTGAGAATGATATTTGCTGTAGGTTTTTCATAGATGGCTTTTATGATATTGAGGTATGTACCCTCTATGCCTATACTCTGAAGAGTTTTGATCAAGAAAGGATGCTGTACTTTGTCAAATGCTTTTTCTGCATCTATTGAGAGGATCATATGATTCTTGTTCTTTCTTTTGTTAATGTATTGTATCACGTTGATTGATTTGCGGATGTTGAACTAACCTTGCAGCCCAGGGATAAATCCCACTTGGTCGTGGTGAATAATCCTTTTAATGTACTGTTGGATCATATTGGCTAGTATTTTGGTGAGAATTTTTGCATCCACATTCATCAGGGATATTGGTCTGTAGGGTTAGGTTGTGTACTTGAGACTTTTCTTGTTTCTTGAGAAAGGCTTGTATTGCTATATACTTTCCTCTTAGGACTGCCTTTGCTGCATCCCAAAGATTTTGAATAGTTGTGTTTTCATTTTCATTGGTTTCCATGAATTTTTTTAATTCTTCTTTAACTTCTTGGTTGACCCATTCATTCTTCAGTAGGATGCTCTTTAGCCTCCATGTATTTAAGTTCTTTCCGACTTTCCTCTTGTGATTGAGTTCTAGTTTCAAAGCATTGTGGTCTGAAAATAGGCAGGGAATGATCCCAATCTTTTGGTACCGGTTGAGACCTGATTTATGACCTAGGATGTGATCTATTCTGGAGAATGTTCCATGGGCAGTAGAGAAGAATGTGTATTCCGTTGCTTTGGGATGCAATGTTCTGAATATGCCTGTGAGGTCCATTTGGTCCAGTGTGTCATTTAAAGTCTTTATTTCCTTGTTGATCTTTTGCTTAGATGATCTGTCCATTTCAGTGAGGGGGGTGTTAAAGTCCCCCACTATTATTGTATTGTTGTCGATGTGTTTCTTTGCTTTTGTTATTAATTGCCTTATATAATTGGCTGCTCCCATGTTAGGGGCATAGATATTTACAATTGTTAGATCTTCTTGTTGGATAGAGCCTTTAAGTACGATATAGTGTCCTTCATCATCTCTTGTTACAGTCTTTGATTTAAAATCTAATTTGTCTGATATAAGGATTGCCACCCCAGCTTTCTTTTGGTGTCCATTAGCATGGTAAATGGTTTTCCACCCCCTCACTTTCAATCTGGGGGTGTCTTTGGGTCTAAAATGAGTCTCTTGCAGACAGCATATCGATGGGTCTTGTTTTTTAATCCAGTCTATTAGCCTGTGTCTTTTGATTGGGGCATTTAGCCCATTTACATTCAGGGTAACTACTGAAAGATAGGAATTTAGTGCCATTGTATTGCCTGTAAGGTGACTGTTACTGTATATTGTCTCTGTTCCTTTCTGGTCTATGTTGCTTTTAGGCTCTCTCTTTGCTTAGAGGACCCCTTTCAAGATTTCTTGGAGGGCTGGTTTTGTGTTTGCAAATTCCTTTAGTTTTTGTTTGTCCTGGAAGCTTTTTATCTCTCCTTCTATTTTCAAGGACAGCCTAGCTGG